ACTCAGCACAGGGATGGTGGGAGCTCCTCATAATGGGCACAGCGGGTGTACAGACCCGGGCACTCAGCACAGGGATGGTGGGAGCTCCTCATAATGGGCACAGCAGGTGTACAGACCCGGGCACTCAGCACAGGGATGGTGGGAGCTCCTCATAATGGGCACAGCGGGTGTACAGACCCGGGCACTCAGCACAGCGATGGTGGGGGCTCCTCATAATGGGCACAGCGGGTGTACAGACCCGGGAACTCAGCACAGGGATGGTCGGAGCCCCTCATAATGGGCACAGCGGGTGTACAGACCCGGGAACTCAGCACAGGGATGGTGGGAGCTCCTCATAATGGGCACAGCAGGTGTACAGACCCGGGAACTCAGCACAGGGATGGTGGGGGCCCCTCATAATGGGCACAGCACCCACTAAACACTGAACTATCATCTTTTGGTAGACTGATGGTTAAACTTAAAGTCTTCGGCGTTCCTCTGGCTGGGGGCTCCCCTATAATTATAGTGGGCATCATGTCCAGCACTGGGTGGATAACAACTGCTATTTGTCCTGACGAGCTGAGTGAAGAAATGGGATTTATTGGAGGTGTCACGGTACCACAACCGCCTCACAAATCCCTTCCATCTCTCCGACTCATTATGAAAAATTCATACGGTTTAAATTAAATAAGAGCGAGATTAATGAGCGCGATCTCGGAATCCGGCGTCATCCAGGTGCGAATCAATCATTGTCTTTAATTAACGCTCAGCTCCTAATTATTTGTTTTAATGTGCCCAGATTTCCTAAGACTACAATTATCGGGAAGGAGGAGTCGTCAAAGTCGTCAAGGACACCAGCGAGGATGTTAAAGTTACATTTCAGGGTTTTTTTGTACTAAATGAACATTTTGACAATTCTGGATAATAAAATATTGCGTTGGTGCCATCTAGTGTCCAGGTGGTGGGAGCCGAGGACACAGCCTGGTACACACGAGCACTGGATAGGGCTGCCCCAAGGCCAGGTTCCTAAATGTGCCCCCCTCCCCGCCAACCCCACCCCATGGAGAATGGCAGACAAGCAGGCTGCAAACAAGTGATCTCGGCGACATCGCGGCTTCCCCGCTGTACATTTAGCTCTGATTGCCCAAAGCCGGGCTAGATGTAGAAAACAACTACCCGCCCTGGTATAGAGAAGGGCACATAACACTGAGCACCAATGTAAGGAGCATTCTTCCCACTGACCCCCAATGTAAGGAGCATTCCTCCCACTGACCCCCAATGCAAGGGACATTCTTCCCACTGACCACCAATGTAAGGGTGTCCTCCTCCCACTGACCCCCAATGTAAGGGTGTCCTCCTCCCACTGACCTCCAATGTAAGGGTGTCCTCCTCCCACTGACCTCCAATGCATACAGCCGGAGGGTGTGAAATACACAAAACACATTATTAATGTACACGAATATTTACAATGTACTGGTCAGTGTACATTTCCAGGGTTCCTCCGCGGTAAAATAAGGCCTGTTGTAGCCTGATGAGGTGACTGCCCCCAAGTGGTGAAATCTCTCAGCAGCAAGATATTAAAATGGCCCGTGTAACGTGGAGCCAGGCAAAAAACATTGGAGAGATGGAAATCTAGAAATGTAAATCTCCTGGACACTTTAACATTTGAGAAATTTTCAGCATTATTAAATCTGCAGCTTTCATTAAAATAATCCCTGGTGATCCCTCCCTGGGGGTCCTTGTGTGAGCACTTCCTGTTATAGGGTGACAACGCTCTGTTACAGTCTCCCAATCATGCTTCTGTGTTGTCACCATAACACACCTTTTGCAGGCATGGTCCACTGTTGTCACCATCAGGAAACCCGCCCTGAGAAAAGTAACTGTTTATGATACACAGTGCTTTAGCAAACTAAATGCCATTAATTGAGGGTTTGCATATACAGTACTTTAAAGCTCAATTAACTTAAATACAGTGGGAAACAGTTAAAGCTGAACTCCGGGCACAAAACATGAAAAAAATTAGCAGTGAGCAGCAGTGACCGGTCTTTATTACAGGAGGGGGCGGCGACAAGACCAGTCACCCTACCACATAGAGAGAGAGTAGCAGTGAGCGGTCTTTATTACAGGAGGGGGCGGAGACAAGACCAGTCACGCTGCACAAGGAGAGAGAGCAGCAGTGAGCGGTCTTTATTACAGGAGGGGGCGGAGACAAGACCAGTCACGCTGCACAAGGAGAGAGAGCAGCAGTGAGCGGTCTTTATTACAGGAGGGGGCGGAGACAAGACCAGTCACGCTGCACAAGGAGAGAGAGCAGCAGTGAGCGGTCTTTATTACAGGAGGGGGCGGAGACAAGACCAGTCACGCTGCACAAGGAGAGAGAGCAGCAGTGAGCGGTCTTTATTACAGGAGGGGGCGGAGACAAGACCAGTCACGCTGCACAAGGAGAGAGAGCAGCAGTGAGCGGTCTTTATTACAGGAGGGGGCGGAGACAAGACCAGTCCCCCTGCACAAGGAGAGCGAGCAGCAGTGAGTGGTCTTTATTACAGGAGGGGGCGGAGACAAGATAAGTCACCCTGCACAAGGACACAGAGCAGCAGTGACCGGTCTTTATTACAGGAGGGGGCGGAGACAAGACCAGTCACGCTGCACAAGGAGAGAGAGCAGCAGTGAGCGGTCTTTATTACAGGAGGGGGCTGAGACAAGATCAGTCACCCTGCACAAGGTGGGAGAGCAGCAGTGACTGGTCTTTACTACAGGAGGGGGCGGAGACAAGACCAGTCACGCTGCACAAGGAGAGAGAGCAGCAGTGAGCGGTCTTTATTACAGGAGGGGGCTGAGACAAGATCAGTCACCCTGCACAAGGTGGGAGAGCAGCAGTGACTGGTCTTTACTACAGGAGGGGGCGGAGACAAGACCAGTCACGCTGCACAAGGAGAGAGAGCAGCAGTGAGCGGTCTTTATTACAGGAGGGGGCAGAGACAAGACCAGGCACCCTGCACAAGGAGAGAGAGCAGCAGTGAACGGTCTTTATGAGAAGTTCTAAGCTTTCCCCAGTCTGATAAGACCTCTTAGAAAGATTTCCACCACTTCCTGTCCAGCTGCGTACATAACTCCCACTTCAGCTCCCAATGTCTGAAACATGTATTGCTGTACAAGGGAAATGACGACCTTGTGAGCTGTGAATATCAGCCAATGGCAGCAGGCGCCAGTGCACACGTTCTTATCACACGTCTCTGGATGACATCGGAGGAAATGTGTTACTTTGTACAGAGACAAATTGTAACATTTTCAGAAGAAGTCATCACCAGAAGACTCGATATTATCTGATCTCTGTCCTCAGGAACCTAAAAGTAGCAATGTCCCGGCATGTGGGAACACCTCCGCGGCTCACACATGTATTCAGTGCCCCCCTTCCACTCCCCGGGTCCCCGTGCAACACAAGCTATGGCAAGCCACACAGTATCATTTACTGCAAATACTGTGACACAAAGGGGTCTATTTATAAATGTTTTCACACCAGATCCACACAACTTTCACCCAAGATTCACATAGTAAAATAAAAATCCAATTAAACAAATGTGAATCTTGGGTGAAAGTAGCGTGAAACCCCAAAATGTTATTGGAAATCGGTGTGTGTGTATACTTTCTATAATTACACTCGCACACAATGTATACAGACGGCTCAGTAAAAGAATTGCGCAGTCACAGAGCAGGATGTCAGACAATACTCTGGCAGACATGTAACTTCCTGTTTCCTGCGCAGGCTCAGCACCTGGACGAGCCTGTTCAGCCCCGCGTCTGTACAGCAGCTTCTATGCATAGTGATGAAGAGCTGATGCAGATTATTCGGAGAGGTCATTTTAGCTTTCTCGGTATTGGCTGCTCCCGACTTATCCCGTTCAATCGGGTCACTAGATGATTGGACGTTTATTCCGGGCACATCTACGGGATGGGATCATCCATCATGCCCATTTTATGGGTTGGTCCTACCTAGACCCCGTCTTCACATATGCAGGGACCCCCCACCTGGGGGCCAAATCCCTACAATTATTGCCTTTTTGAATTACTGCTCTTGTGGTGTAACTCAACAAAGGTTGATGTTCATATCCTGGGGGACGTGGTAAGCAAATAGCGTCGGGGGGAGGCAGAAGAGCAAGGGACTGTCCCAGCAATTCCAGGACAGTTGGCTTCTATGGAATCTACGGTCATCTGCAGATTCACCTGTCAATTCCTTCTCATCTGATTGTAGTTCACCTAAAAGCAGACAGCACTTGCCCATCAACACGAGCCCGGAGCCCACTGACACAAGATGAAGGCTCATGGACACAAGACGATTGCTCACTGGCACAAGGCGAATGCCCACTGATACAAAGAGAAGGCCCACTGACACAAAGGGAAGGCCCACTGACACAAGGTGAAGGCCCACTGACACAAGGAGAAGGCCCACTGACACAAGGCGAAGGCCCACTGACACAAGGCGAAGGCTCACTGGCACAAGGCGAAGGCCCACTGACACAAGGAGAAGGCCCACTGACACAAGGAGAAGGCCCACTGACACAAGGAGAAGGCCCACTGACACAAGGCGAAGGCCCACTGACACAAGGCGAAGGCTCACTGGCACAAGGCGAAGGCCCACTGACACAAGGAGAAGGCCCACTGACACAAGGAGAAGGCCCACTGACACAAGGTGGAGGCCCACTGACACAAGGAGAAGGCTCACTGACACAAGGTGGAGGCCCACTGACACAAGGAGAAGGCCCACTGGCACAAGGCGAAGGCCCACTGGCACAAGGCGAAGGCCCACTGACACAAGGCGAAGGGCCATTGACTCAGGACATTAATGTAATTTGTGGTGAAATCAAACAAAACACCATAGAATACAAATATTCAAATATGTTTTTCAAAATTCCCGACAAATTTAAAAAAAATATTAAACTGGTACGGCTGGGGGACGGAGGGTCACCTGACTGCATCCCAAAGGAGCAGGATGGCAGATGGGATTGTTCAAGACATTGGCATGTGTATACGTCTCATATCCTCGTCCCCTTCCCCCACCGTCCACCAAATGTTTGGGTAGATCATTTTGAGATCATTGAGAACATTTCTGATAACTGGAGTGCTCATTACCCTCATAGTCCTTATTATTGGAGTCCTTATTATCCTCATAGTCCTTATTATTGGAGTCATTATTATCCTCATACTCCTTATTATTGGAGTCATTATTATCCTCATAGTCCTTATTATTGGAGTCCTTATTATCCTCAAAGTCCTTATTATTGGAGTCCTTATCTCCTGCCACTGAATTTATCATTCATCAGATTGGACGCTTTGATGAACATTGAAGTTTCTTCTAAAAGAATAGTGATATTCCGCAAGGGTGGAGATTGGACGATACACCTGTATGGTCAGGGCCGAATTTACTCTCTCTGCTGCCCCAAGGCCAGGTTCCTCAATGCGCACCCCTACCCTCCAACACCCCCCCCCCCCCCCCCCCCCCCCCAACCCGCACACCCCG